TTATAAATTAAATTTAAACTTTTTTAAATTTTGATATGTTGCCGATTTTAATATAATATCGTAGTCTTTCCTTATTTATGTGGGTCATTACATGGTGACCTGACAGCTATCTATGTAACGTGTACGCTTTGTTTTGACAAACTACTTGTTAAGCAATCAGGCAATGTAAATAAATAAATAAATAAATTTATTTGGGCTTGACTTCCTTCATGGCCCTAAACAGAAAGAACAATGGCCCATTCTTTTCTTGTGTGGGGGTGCTCATAGAGTTTTCCTCCACATTTGTAACATTCTAGCTTTTATATCCCATATTTGGGTTTATTCATGCCTACTTTTTTCTTTCTGTTTAGGGTTAATGGTACTATACCCATGAAGTTTGACCAAGATTCCTCTCTTCTCTCTTCATTTGTAGAACTTTGCACCCTTTTCTTTTGTCTTTCTTTTTTGTTGGTAATCGACCGTTTCAATCATATATTTTTTGAAACCGTTATTATCAAAATAAACTCAAGGTGCATATAATCAAGCGCAAAATCATGTGTATAGTATTAATCTAGGAGATAGGAGAGTCTTACTCAATTTTGGGAGGTATTGGAACCCTTCCATTCAAATTACTCTAACAAATTTCTTCTATCATGCTTTCATTTTGGTCAAATTTGATGGAAGTGAGATGTAATCAATTTGATTGCAGTGCTAGTACAAAAAAGAAAATCACCGTTGAATGTCAAATTTTTATAGTGACTCTTATTATTAAAAAAAGGTTAATAGTAATGACAAAAGTTTAATTTCATCATTAAAAATTTTTTTTGACACTTATATGCACACCAATTGACGGACGCTGTTTTGGTGGTGATAGACTTTTAAACGACAAAATTTCAACATTAAATGACAAATTTTTACATTATCCGAATGAGTAATACTACATGGACTTAAAAACTAGACTTGATAATTACAACGATTNGGTGACTCTTATTATTAAAAAAAGGTTAATAGTAATGACAAAAGTTTAATTTCATCATTAAAATTTTTTTTTGACACTTATATGCACACCAATTGACGGACGCTGTTTTGGTGGTGATAGACTTTTAAACGACAAAATTTCAACATTAAATGACAAATTTTTACATTATCCGAATGAGTAATACTACATGGACTTAAAAACTAGACTTGATAATTACAACGATTGATTTCACTGTGAGTCTAAACATTTATTGGGACCTACTACCTATTCAATAGTTGTAATTATCAAGTTTAAATTTTAAGTCTAATTTTTGGTTAATTTGTTATCCGATTCAATCNTTTTACATTATCCGAATGAGTAATACTACATGGACTTAAAAACTAGACTTGATAATTACAACGATTGATATCACTGTGAGTCTAAACATTTATTGGGACCCACTACCTATTCAATAGTTGTGATTATCAAGTTTAAATTTTAAGTCTAATTTTTGGTTAATTTGTTATCCGATTCAATCAAGCCTACTTAAATCTCGAAAGGGGAGACGAGTCCACGCAAGAGGGTAGATGGATACTCCACATTAACTTGCCCCTTATGACATCAAATTCCACACTAAAACTCGAAAAAAGTATATGGGGGGACCAATGTAACTCCTAATTCTATTCTTTCATGTATCTGTGGGTATTGGTCCTGCCTAATCCCTTGACGCACTTGGGTTTGGATAGAAATATGATAAGGACAAGCATTAAATTCTATATCGTGACGTATAGATCGATATTTTGATGTAAAATCGACTTGTTAGACTCTATACGTAACGCCGTGCTATAATAGTTTTGATTAAAAAAAATACAAGATAAAATACTTTGAAAGATGTCTTCTTGCATTGGCCAAAGTATCAAACAATCAACTTGAATTGAATTGATTCAACATCAAAGGCCGTAATATGTGGATATCTCCCTATCTCCTCACCAATGTCATAGTGGGCCAAAAGGCTAAAGACAAACTCAATTGAGATAAGCAACCAAAATCTNGCCGTGCTATAATAGTTTTGATTAAAAAAAATACAAGATAAAATACTTTGAAAGATGTCTTCTTGCATTGGCCAAAGTTTCAAACAATCAACTTGAATTGAATTGATTCAACATCAAAGGCCGTAATATGTGGATATCTCCCTATCTCCTCACCAATGTCATAGTGGGCCAAAAGGCTAAAGACAAACTCAATTGAGATAAGCAACCAAAATCTCTCTCTTTCTTCCTCGTCAAAGGAATCACTCTAATTTCTAACACCTTTGAGACGGATTTATTGACTCCTCTATTGACTGCCATGTGGATGGGAACTTCAAGACTACCACCAACTACATGAAACTCCAAGAAAAGAATATATCAACCGTTCCTTCATTTTTTTTCTCTCCAACTGTGTTTTTTTCTTCCTCTCTTTTGGCTTTTATGCAGAGAAAAAAAAAATACAAGGGTACCTCTGACATTTGACTAAATGACACAGAAACCTCTTGACATTTCTAAAATTACACGACAACCCCTTGAGATTTAAAAATCATAACACGAGCACCCCTTCTATCTTCCTACCGTTGATCTGACTAACAGAAAATAGTGATGCCAAGGAATAAAATTTATCTAATTCTAAAATTACCCCTCTATAACATGCCCAACATTTTCTAAGACAATCTTGTCCACTAATTATCAATAATTTACTATTTTAACAACAGTAATTATACAATTATAAAAATTAATCAAAGATTAACATTAAACCATCACATTAGATTAAAATTAATCAACTAAGATAATTACCATCAACTAGGATAATTAGTTTAACTGGGAATGGTGGGTTTGGAGTGGTGATGGCAGTGGTAGTTGGGGTTGGGAAGGTTGGGTACAGAGGGGTAGGGGGAGGGGGCGGAGGGCCTAAGAATGAGTGATAGAGAGTTTGGAGTTGTGGTGGTGATGACAACTAGGTGGTTGGGAGGGTTGGGTGCAATGGGGTTTGTTGTAAGGAGGGGGCAAGAGGCTTAGGGGATCTAAGAGGAAGAAAGAAGAGAAAGGTAGAGAGAGAAAGAAAGGGTTGGGAGTGGTGGCAATTGGAGTTTGTTGCAGGGAGGCAGCCGGGGGGGGATCTGAGAAGGAGAGAGCAAAAAGGGGTAAAGAGAGAAATGAGGATTGAGAGTGGTGGTGGTGGTAGCAGCTAGGGTGGGTTGCGATGTGGTTTGATGCTAGGAAGGGCAAGGGCCTGAGGAATCTCTGAGAGAGAGAGAGGGGGGGGGTTGGGAGGGTTGGGTGGCAGTTTGGTTGCGAGGGTTGGGATTTATTGTAGGGAAGGGCGGGGGCCAGAGAGATCTGTGAGAGAGAGAGAGAGAAAGAGAGAAACAGAGAGAAAAAAGGGGTTGAGGGCCTGAGGGATCTAAGAGAGAGAGGGGAGGAGAAAAAGTTACAGGTCGGTAAAGAGAGAGAGTGAGAGAGGAGAGGAAAGGAGAGGAGGAGTGGTGGCGGCAGCGTTGGGTGGGGTAAGGGATGAATGAGAGGTTAGAGCTAGAGGGGTNAGAGGAAGAAAGAAGAGAAAGGTAGAGAGAGAAAGAAAGGGTTGGGAGTGGTGGCAATTGGAGTTTGTTGCAGGGAGGCAGCCGGGGGGGGATCTGAGAAGGAGAGAGCAAAAAGGGGTAAAGAGAGAAATGAGGATTGAGAGTGGTGGTGGTGGTAGCAGCTAGGGTGGGTTGCGATGTGGTTTGATGCTAGGAAGGGCAAGGGCCTGAGGAATCTCTGAGAGAGAGAGAGAGAGAGGGGGGGTTGGGAGGGTTGGGTGGCAGTTTGGTTGCGAGGGTTGGGATTTATTGTAGGGAAGGGCGGGGGCTAGAGAGATCTGTGAGAGAGAGAGAGAGAGAAAGTGAGAGACAGAGACAGAGAGAAAGAAGGGGTTGAGGGCCTGAGGGATCTAAGAGAGAGAGGGGAAGAGAAAAAGTTACAGGTTGGTAAAGAGAGAGAGTGAGAGAGGAGAGGAAAGGAGAGGAGGAGTGGTGGCGGCAGCGTTGGGTGGGNAGATCTGTGAGAGAGAGAGAGAGAAAGAGAGAAACAGAGAGAAAAAAGGGGTTGAGGGCCTGAGGGATCTAAGAGAGAGAGGGGAGGAGAAAAAGTTACAGGTCGGTAAAGAGAGAGAGTGAGAGAGGAGAGGAAAGGAGAGGAGGAGTGGTGGCGGCAGCGTTGGGTGGGGTAAGGGATGAATGAGAGGTTAGAGCTAGAGGGGTTTTTTTTTTTTGACTTATTAATTTAATTTGTTTTTATTTAATTTATTATGTGTTTTATTTTAAATTAAATTAAAGGGTTGAAATAGTCATTTATCACTTACGTTAACGCCGGCCATCTATTGACGCCGACAAGGGATCCCCATGTAATTTTAGAAATGTCAAGACTTCTCCGTATCATTTAGTCATTTAGTCGAATGTTAGAGAGTGTTAATGTAATTTACCCAAAATGCAAAGAACATTGAGAAGAACACTTTCCCTCAAATTTCCATATCCGAACAAAACAACAATATAATATGCATTTCTTTTGNCCGGCCATCTATTGACGCCGACAAGGGATCCCCATGTAATTTTAGAAATGTCAAGACTTCTCCGCATCATTTAGTCATTTAGTCGAATGTTAGAGAGTGTTAATGTAATTTACCCAAAATGCAAAGAACATTGAGAAGAACTCTTTCCCTCAAATTTCCATATCCGAACAAAACAACAATATAATATGCATTTCTTTTGTTTTACATGTGCATCATGTGTACAGGGCTCACATTTTCACATTATTCACACAAGAAAAAAAAAGGAAAGAGAAAGAAAGAAAAAACTATGTTTAACCCAACTCCCACTAACCCAAAAATGAACACGTATAATCTCTCTTTTTTCCAACCTCCCAATGAAAACAAAAAGGGAAAGAGAAAAATTCAGAATTTACCCATTAAAATTATCAGAAATCAGATTTCTACTTGCAGACTTTATAATAACAGGAGTCTTGTGCACTTGTTCTGCTTTTTAGATTCACTTTCAATTACCTGGAAAAATCGGATTTCGGACTTTATTGTTGCCATGGCTATTGTTGTTGCTAGTAGTTATGCTGCCATTGTTGTGGCTGGNTTAAAATTATCAGAAATCAGATTTCTACTTGCAGACTTTATAATAACGGGAGTCTTGTGCACTTGTTCTGCTTTTTAGATTCACTTTCAATTACCTGGAAAAATCGGATTTCGGACTATATTGTTGCCATGGCTATTGTTGTTGCTAGTAGTTATGCTGCCATTGTTGTGGCTGGTGGTGGTTGTGACATTGGTATTACTTTTAGCGCAATTGTTTGGTTGAGAATTGCCAATGAGTGAAGTTATGGCTGCTGCTAGAGCTGCAGTAAAATTCGGATCGGCGGTGAGGGCGGTGACAGTGTCAGCCAATGAATTCTGCTGTGCTTGGTGTATTGGTGGTGGTGGAGCTTGGTGGGCTAACCGAGCGGCTTCCATGTCCCGAGACATCTGTAGGCCGGAAAATTTGGATTGATTATATAGTGCCTCCCCAAAAATCTGAGGCAGAAGTGAGGCTGGTGTGCCAGCAAGAATTTGAGGTACTTGGAATTGATTTTGTGGCCTTTGGAATTGTAATGGGTTGGGACTTTGGGTTAGGTCTAATGTGACTGTAGGAAATGGAGCCGAGGCAGAAATTGTAGCCATGTTTGATGAGCAAGGTAGGAGTGTCCTGGCTAGGAAATTGGGGTTCATTAGGCCATCCCCACTTGGCATTGATCCTGAAAGTAACATTCTTGCGGCGGATGATGTTGTTGACGCCATTGCCACCGCGGCTGGAGGCAGTGGATGGTTGTGGTTGCCTTCGTATGTTGTTATCAGGATGGTTCGATCATCGGCACATCTTTGAACCTGTAGATTTGACACAAAAAAGAAATTTAACACCGTATATTACTTTTAGAAATCAGAAATCAATCTTTTCAAAATAAGAACAAGACTGCATGTTATTTACCACTATAGACAGGAGGAGTCTGGATAAACGAAATAACATTAATTGCTCAAAATTTGACCCAACCATCTAATAATTAAAACAAGAAAACAGGTGGTGTACTGGCACCCACTTCTTTGAAGAATCACACATTGGCAATGCAGGAATTTTATTAAGTTAATCAATTTTCTGTTTAGTTTAACTCATCCTACTTATCTCTTATCTCTTATCTCGGTTCATAGAAAACGTTCTCAATAACCCTTTGCTAAATTCATGAGTTTATAAGTATTCCGGAGTCAAACCAGTTGAAGAGGAAATGATATACATACTTGTTTACGAACTGGGCAACCGGTGGCCATGGTGCACCGATAATAAGCTCGAGGACACGGGTTTCCTTTCGCCATCTTCTGTCCATATTTTCGCCATTGGCATCCATCTGAGATCTAACACCGGTAAAATTTCGATTAATTCAACTAAAAATAATCAAATCCAAGCTCAACTAACTACAGAATTTCAATTCAATTCGATCCAATTGTATTACCATGGGAGCCTCTGATCGGGCCTTAACCGAGACTCGGGCTTTCCTCATCGTGGCCTCAGTAGCTTCTTGATCAACATTTTTCAAAGGGTGGTTCAATCTAGGGACCTTGTTTGGACCCCAATCTTGAGAGCCTTGCTCTGGGCTACCATCTCTTCCATTCTCTCTAATACTAAATTCCTTATCGGTTTTATTCACCGGTGATCGCGAACGCTCATGGCTTCGTCCCTCAGACGAAGATAGCGAGTGCTCATCTGTCTCAGCGACACAAGCACGCTTAAGATCCATGAATTGTCTAGGTACCATTAGTCCTCCATGACCATTGTGTGGACTGCCTTCAACTTTACAATCGTGTTCTTGATCGGTGTTTTTGGGTTTGGGATCTTGATGGTGCTGCATCAGTGTAGCCAGATGAATCTGAAGAGTGTTGTAATTCTTGTTAACCTGATTGAGAATCTCTCTCAGACGGTGGTTCTCCGTGTTCAATCGGTTAAGCTCCGCTTGAAGAACCCCAAGCTAAAACCAGTAACAATCAAATTTAAAAGATTAATCATTGGTCCTAAACATTCATAAAAGGCGGTCCAGTGCAGGAGTCTGACAAACACATCCCATGATAGAGTTAGATGAGAATTCATGGTCTTACCTCACTTTTTGCTCTTTTTTCATATGAGTTTGGTGATACTCCATCGTCCACTATTGACTGATCACTGCTAGTATTTGCAGTGAGAAGGTGCAGACCAGTCTATACAGTGAAGAATTTAATACAACTCAGTTCATAAAACTATCAAAAAAAAAAAAAAAAAAAGGCATACGATGAATTGAATGATCAGATAAAATGGGTAGCTTACATTCACTTTGAAATCCAATCCATCATGTGTATTCCAATCTTTTTCATCTTCAATGGTGGTGTCTGCCTTAAAGTGATGATGATCATCTTTTTTACTGGGAAAAAATACCATCTCATCGATGACCGTCCGTTTATCATCAGACGGGCCTGGACGTTCTTGATCATGGGTGCAGTTAAGGTTCACCGGGAACTGAATAGTGGGCGGTGGTGATGATGACCTGTTGTTGACTGTGCCTTCCATAAGTGGTTCAAGCTTTAACCTGTGGTGGTAGAACTGGTGGTGATGGTGGTTGTTTTTGTCTTCTGGAAAAGAATTGATGACTGTGGGCTTGTGTGGGAAGAACTGGATGTGATCTGAATCAAAGGAGAGTCCACTTCCTTTAGCCATATACCTTGAGAGAGAGAGAGAGAGAGAGAGAGAGAGAGAGAGAGAGAAGTTCAAAGAAATGTGCAATGGACTAGGCAATAAAAAGGGGTTTGAGACTGAAAAAGGAAGACCAAATACAAGTGGAGGGGAGTCGGGGGAGTTTAAGATTTGTTTGAAGAGAAGACGATGGGATTTGATACGGGAAGAGGTCTGCTTTGCCATCTACTACCCGTTTTTTTTTTTAATGTGATGGTTTACATTAATATATACATATCTTGATTAATTTTTTTCTCGGTCTTATTAAAAGTAGATTATCGACGCTAGCCTTGTATCTTCTACTTCTTATGGTCTAATTTTCTCGATTGATTGTCTTGTCAACAATATATACACCAACCAACAATCTTGTATCCGAAAATACTCTGCAATATCAAATGTAATATTAAACATTAATTGTATAATATTTTATTTTTTATCTAATTATACTTAAAGTGAAAATAAAAAATAAGAGAGAGATAAATGAGAGAGAAAAGAGATAGGTGTAAATTAATAAAATTATTATTTGACATTGAAGTGTGTTTTATTTAAATTGTCCGAGATTTGAGATCGTACCGAGAAAATAATATTAAATAAATCTAAATCGTGGTTTTATTTTTATAAATGTGTAATTTAAATTATTAGTTATAACATTAAATAGATATGTGTATCAAAACTCAAAAAAAACTAAATAGAACANCTCGGTCTTATTAAAAGTAGATTATCGACGCCAGCCTTGTATCTTCTACTTCTTATGGTCTAATTTTCTCGATTGATTGTCTTGTCAACAATATATATACCAACCAACAATCTTGTATCCGAAAATACTCTGCAATATCAAATGTAATATTAAACATTAATTGTATAATATTTTATTTTTTATCTAATTATACTTAAAGTGAAAATAAAAAATAAGAGAGAGATAAATGAGAGAGAAAAGAGATAGGTGTAAATTAATAAAATTATTATTTGACATTGAAGTGTGTTTTATTTAAATTGTCCGAGATTTGAGATCGTACCGAGAAAATAATATTAAATAAATCTAAATCGTGGTTTTATTTTTATAAATGTGTAATTTAAATTACTAGTTATAACATTAAATAGATATGTGTATCAAAACTCAAAAAAAACTAAATAGAACAAATTACCTCCCACAAATTATAAAAAGTTACTAAAGGATATATTTTATAGTTAATTATGAATTACTTTAAATATTTATAATTTCACCTTAGAAAAATGTAATTTAATTTTAAAACGAAGAGACGTGGGTGGTCCGTCAAAGTGACGAACTGGACGAGGGACCAGAGAGTAGTAAGGGGTCCACAAGAGGTTTGGCGATTGAATTGATTGCGTCTAGGGTTTGTCAAAGAGGTGAAATTGACCCGTTCCCAAAAATTCACCGCCCCAATTGGCCCGGCACTTCCCCGTGACGACGGCCTTACCAAAAGCTTCGTCTTAGACAACGACTTTATGGGACCGGCCCCCACCGCAAGTCAATGACTTGGGTCCAAGTCAGGCTCTGATTTTGACACGTAGTATCCGGCACCTCTCGTCTCCCAAATGAAAAATGCAATTTCAAACTAAAAAATTGAATATTAACACGTCAGAACCTAATTTAAAAATTTAATGATATGATTTTATTGCAACCATTAAATTAATTGTAAGTTCTAATATTATATGGAACTCAAAACCAATCTAATAATTATACAACATTAGATTCCCAAATTAAGTCAAAATAATAATTTCCGTCCCAATAAATATTACTACACACAATTAAAAAAGTAATAGTGAATAATTAAGTCAACATTTTTAAATCTCGGTGGCATTGCTCCTACCAAATTAATCTGTCATTATTTTTAATAAAATAATATTATTTAGATATAATTTTATTAAATCAATAGTACACCACATCTAATATTACGATTTATCATTAATCCAACGAGTACAAGATATTTATTAACAGATTAAATTTAAGTAACATAATCGATTTGATAACATTTTCAAAATATTACAAAATAGTAGTAATATAAAAATCTTGATTATTGGAAAAATATGATATAAGCTTGAAATATTTCTTGGATTTTTTTTTTTTAATCTTAAATCACGTGGTGGTTAAATCAAATCAAGGGGTCGAGTTACTTTTTTTAATTTGGGATGAAAATATTATAAAATAAATGTGGGAAAGTACGACAATTTTAATTATTGACTCGCATTTTATTTGTTTCTAAAACGGGTTGGGTACGCAAATCAGTCAAATATCACGGTTTAAGCATTAGGAAATCCGTTCAATTTTCATAAATTAAAAAACCTTATCAAAAAGNCCAATATCACTGTTTAAGCATTAGGAAATCCGTTCAATTTTCATAAATTAAAAAACCTTATCAAAAAGTCAATAGAAGAAGACCACAACCAACAAAAATTTCAAAAGAAAAAACAAAATCATTTAAAAAAAAAAAATAAAGCTACCAGCCCTCCACGTCTACAAGTATTATAAGCCATTGAAAGGACATAGAAAAGGTCGTGTCTCAGGAGAGTTGCTCCTCGCTCTCTCTGTGTGTTCACTGCACTTGTGACCATGACATTGATATTATTGATGAGTTGTAAAATTAATCTTGTTACGACAAGTTGTTACCATAACTTTTCATAACCCTCCAGTCAAGTGGTTAAAAAGGCTCGAATGACTCATGTTTTGCTACAGACTAAATTCATTTATGGCGCGTTCACACTTAAATTACAAAATAAATGATGTTGACCTGTTTTTTGAGTTAATTGTGTGAAAAAGATGAACACAAGTAATGTGTGGTTCAATCGGATAAGCTTGGCTTGACTTGAATTGCAAAAAACACAATATTTCAGTTTCCGTGGTTGAATAACTTCAAACCCTACCTCCAAAATATAGCTCAAAACAATATGAACTTCTCTCTGCCACTCTTTTTTTGGCAGATTTTTGAGTAACTTTTATTTTTAGAGTTTAGTTTTTGTTGATGAATTGATTATTCTGTGATTTATTATAAAGCAATAGTGTTCAATTTTTAGAAATTTTTGTGGAGAAATCGAGCTCGATTTAGATCAAGTTCGGTTCAAATCCCTACAAAATTGTGTCGATTCGAACTTGGGCAAGAATCAAATCTCAAGAATCAACCATGGATCAAGCTCCACCATCACAAGTAGAAGTGGTAAATGGACAGGTTGAGTTGGTTATGAGTTGGGTGCAAAACAAATTTAATATGTTTTCAACCCACTTAATAAATGGATTATAATTTATTATATCATAACCGGGTTGGGCTAAACTCATTAATTCATAAAACAATTAAAACTCTAAACATAAATACATACTAATATACCAAAGAAAATACACGCTAATACACAAAAAAAATACACACTGATACACTGAGGTTCAAGGTCGAGTCGGGTGCGGGTGTACTAGTATGTGTGTGTTCTGTTTGTTGTGTATTGATATATATGTGTATATTTTTTAGTGAATTAGTGCGTATGTTTTGGTGTACTAGTGTGTGTATATATTTTTTAGTATATTTGTGTGTATATTTGATATTATGTTTGTTATTTAATACAAAGATAAATCTTCAACTCAATGAATACTCATTTGTAATTCATCTTAACCTGCTTAATTAAAATGAGTTATATTATCCAACCCATTTAGAATTTACATTAATTAATATAAATACCCAACGTATCTATTTATCAATGAATAAATAGATAATTAGTTAAGATTATCANCGGGTTGGGCTAAACTCATTAATTCATAAAGCAATTAAAACTCTAAACATAAATACATACTAATATACCAAAGAAAATACACGCTAATACACAAAAAAAATACACACTAATACACTGAGGTTCAAGGTCGAGTCGGGTGCGGGTGTACTAGTATGTGTGTGTTCTGTTTGTTATGTATTGGTATATATGTGTATATTTTTTAGTGAATTAGTGCGTATGTTTTGGTGTACTAGTGTGTGTATATATTTTTTAGTATATTTGTGTGTATATTTGATATTATTTTTGTTATTTAATACAAAGATAAATCTTCAACTCAATGAATACTCATTTGTAATTCATCTTAACCTGCTTAATTAAAATGAGTTATATTATCCAACCCATTTAGAATTTACATTAATTAATATAAATACCCAACGTATCTATTTATCAATGAATAAATAGATAATTAGTTAAGATTATCACCTCTCACACCTAAAGCATTCTCAAGTTTGACAAGCTCAAGTTGATTATCTAGTTATACAAAATTTTTCTCTCTTTTAAGACTGCTTTACTTTCTCTCAAGTTTGATTTTTTTTTAGACAAAAAATTCTAATAATGTTTTTTGACTCATAAATATAATGTGGAATACATAAGATAATTCAAGGTTGAGTTAATCTAAAACTTTGAAATTATTCGAACTATTTGATGGGTGAGAAGATATTCGATGGAACGATGACACTATCTCATCATCATGGTATCACTAATCAAATGAGTAAGTGAATTCTATACAATTTAATAATCACGTTATCCATGAAATATAATAACTACAATATATATAGAAGTAGAGTTCACTTTTTCCATTTCACTCGTTTTTTATTAGCTTTGTCAAATCATCCATGAGAAAGAAGGTAAGGTAAAGAATCTCTCTCTAAAATNTTTAAGACTCCTTTACTTTCTCTCAAGTTTGATTTTTTTTTAGACAAAACATTCTAATAATGTTTTTTGACTCATAAATATAATGTGGAATACATAAGATAATTCAAGGTCGAGTTAATCTAAAACTTTGAAATTATTCGAACTATTTGATGGGTGAGAAGATATTCGATGGAACGGTGACACTATCTCATCATCATGGTATTACTAATCAAATGAGTAAGTGAATTCTACACAATTTAATAATCACGTTATCCATGAAATATAATAACTACAATATATATAGAAGTAGAGTTCACTTTTTCCATTTCACTCGTTTTTTATTAGCTTTGTCAAATCATCCATGAGAAAGAAGGTAAGGTAAAGAATCTCTCTCTAAAATAGGGAAAAAAGAACGAGGTAAGGAAGGCTCCTACTCTTATTTTGCCTGTTGTCTTGGCTATACTGGTTGTGATTTAACAGTATATACCCGTGTGTGTGCGTGTGTAGTGTGTTGCATTATTC